GAAACAAACAAACGACAGTCCGAAATAAACGACACACCATTCAAGTTATATTTGTTCTACCTGCATTTCCCATTATTATTGTGTTACATGTCATAAAGGGATAGAAAATCGAAAGTACTAACTTTAGGACTAATTATTATGTATTATGTTTTGTATTATGAATATTATGTTTTATTTTATTACTGTATATTATATATTATTTCTTCACTTTTTCCATTGTTAATGAAACTTTTTTTACCTATTAAATAACTTTATACCTTATGCAGAAATTATAACTATATTGTTTTAAAGAAAAATCCCTTTTCTTCCCAAATACACTATCCACGCGCAATGTGCACAATTTCGGCGGGTGGTTCCGTTCAGGAGGGGCGCTACGGCGGACTGAACCTAAATACTCGCGTTAAATTTTCCGAGTAAGAATTATCTGCGGAAAAAGACCCTCGTGGGAACAAGTTTTATTCTAAGCCTCGGGTTTATTCGTTCAAAAAGGATTGCTACATTGTTGGCTGCGGTACTAATGACAAAGTGTCCTCAAGGCTCCCCGGGTTGTCTTAGCTTCGTTTAGAGAGGAACGGCGATTTGTCTCGTGCAGCTTTGTTGTCAAGGGAACCGAGGCTAAGCGAAGTGTCATGCGCTGCGCCAGAGAGCGTCTACGTTCTATCCTTTTTACCGGCACCGGTGCTTGTTAGTGCAGCTTTGTCTGGAAGATGGTTCTATTTTAGCGGAAAGTCTCAACAAAGAGAGAGGTCAAGCGAGGTTTTAATTACCGTGGTCGAGACAAAATTCAGTAAAATTCTCAGCGTGTTTAATAACTTACCCAGATCAACAAAACGCACTTTTTCAATTTTCGTCGGACCACAACGTTGAGAAAACATCACTTTTCTCATTTTTTTTTCTTCATTCCAACCAATTACAGTCCCAAGAAAATTTCTAGAAAACAGCTCGGTCCAACATCTCGAAAGAATTCGTGCAATTAGAACCAACTTCGAAAAAGTTATTCCGTCTGAAAACGCGTTAACATACTTTTCCGACGCGATTGTGGTGCTTCTACATTTTTTTTACTGCTTAGCTTGTTCTCCATTTAGCCCCGACTTATGCAAGAATCGCGTAGAAATGTTTAAATGATACGAAAATATTTTTTTCACGACTGCAGTATAAACCTGATAATTATTAGGTCTACCGGAAAGTTCTGTCCGATAATGTCATTGCAAATTTCAATAGATACGCACATATTCATTTGAGACAGATATTTTTGAAAAATGTTGCTCACAAATTGCCATCACGCTGGCAAGAGGTCACATAAGTAACGACGGAAATTATATTGTACAATAAATATTACTAAATTTATGAAAAATCTATTATTTCCTTTCATTTCTCAAACGGGCAGAACTTTCCGGTAGGCCGGAAATAATAAATATAATAAAACTAACTATAATAAATATAATAATTCTTTAAACGCAAACTGGCCATAAATTAAATAATAATATAATAAAACTAACTATAATAAATATAATAAAATAATAAATATAATAATTCTTTAAACGCAAACTGGCCATAAATTAAATAATAATATAATAAAACTAACTATAATAAATATAATAAAATAATAAATATAATAATTCTTTAAACGCAAACTGGCCATAAATTTGGGCAACCAACTTGCTCGATTCTATTCCCGAACTGACGAGTTTTGATCCCGACGAATGCACGAGGGTTGATAAAGAACCGTTCGCAACGATGATTAACGCAAACCACCGTTCTCTATCACCGCAGCAGACGGCAG